AAGACCTCGTGTCCGCATCAAGCCTATGTCCTGAGAGCAGACAAAACGGCAGTCATGCAAAGACAGTCAGACAAAGATAAACCATGGCAAGAAATATGAGTGCTCGACCGGAGAAAACTGTCTGGACTCTGCCACCAAAACAAGATTCAACAAGACCGAATTGGCATAATCCTGACAATTATATATTCATTCAATCATTCATTGTTTCATTCATTTTCTTTTCGGCATAGTCCTTTTATTAATCTAGGGTCGCCACAGCGAAATGAACCGCCAACCTGTCCAACACATGGATGCCCTTCCTGCTGCAACTTATCACTGGGAAACACTCATACACTCTCATTCACACACATTCACTACAGACAATTTTAGCTTACCCAATTCACCTGTACCGCATGTCTTTGGACTGTGGGGGAAACTGGACCACCTGAAGGGAATCCATGCGAACACTGGGAGAACATGCAAATCTCCACACAGAAATGCCAACTGACCCAGCCGAGGGTCGAACCAGCGACCTTCTTGCAGTGAGGCGACAGCACTACCTACTGCACCGCCACAATTATATATATTTTAAATATTATATGTAGCTGCACTTAAAAATAAAAAATAAAAAAATGTTGTGAACATTTTAATGTACAATTAATAGTAAATTTACAACACTTTTTGCAACATTAGACTTAAGCTCAAAGCAGCATTTTCATTTCATATGTCATTTGTACGTTAAATTCTTGCATGTAAACACCAAGTGAGTAGGACCCATTGTCGGTCTCATAGGAAACAGCATGTACTGATTAGGTCCCCAGCAACACATAATTTTCCTCATGATCATCATTGTGCAAAACCACAGCTAAAGTCAGCAGAGGAGAAGCAGACAGAGAGAACGAGAGAACGCCCTGGTATCAGTATCGCATTCGCCACCGTCTCCGCTTGATTCATCTACCTGTGAAACACAACCTTCAGAAAACTGCAAATCCGGCAGATGCCGCTTTACCCTGAATTCACACCTGTTCGCAGCATGTGTTTAGTGATTTGCCACCAGGAAGCCGCCAGTACGCTCATTAAAAGAGAAGGTTTGGAGGTGTACACTCTTTTGCACTTAGATTTATGGAGACCTGCGATTCGAGCAAGCCATATGCTGAGACACAGACGCTCCCATATGCCGAAATGTCATTAAAACCACATCCCTGCCAATTATACAGCATTTCCCCGTTCCGTCTGGCTGATACAAATTATGACCCATGCTGGCACAGCTAAAACTATAGCACCCATAAATGTGGCACTGGGTGTACAGAGCCCTATTGAAAATGATTGTTCTCTCACTACAGGCCATGGCGGAGGCGCCCCATGAAATGGCCACAACCAGACCCGAGCGTGCCATTATCTCTGTGGGTCAGTGCTGAAACCATAAATTGGTTACTTAAACCTCTGGACTAGTGAAGTGTGTGTGACGCTATAACAGCGCACATTGCCAGGTGCAAATCTTCAGAGGATAATAACAACCTGTGAGGCCTTTAGACTTGCAGTCAAACTCTTGTTAGAGCTGCTGAGGTGAATGTTGTGCTACTTTGTTTGTGGGTTTTGTTACCTGTACATACAAGAGGCTTCTTGCTAATAATCAAGTGCACTCAGAATTAGCAGGCAGGCTAGGCTGATCAATTTTCATCCAACTCAAATTGGTCATTTCAACTTAATTGTTTATTTGTGTAGGAAATCAACAGCGTTTGGCTCTCGCAAGGCTGGCATTGATGCAAAGAGTGCAATTACCTGGGGAAATAAATGGTTGTTGTTAGATAACGCTATGTTATGATTGTGTTGGATTGATCCTCCGGTTGACTGCTAGCTAAATTGCTCTGTTGGACAAATGGGGTATTGAATGGTCAGATTTGTATGCGCTCTCCCAAAATGTATGTTGTTCTGGAGCTGTACTTGCACAGTGTTGACTTCATCTTGATGTTAGCATTGAGTGAGGTGGCATTTATGAGGGAGGCTAAAGTAAATGTTGATTGATGAGGGGGAAAGGATTTTGTTTACGTTTTCAGGGCCTGCAGGTTGAGCCAAATCTGACAAACTTTTGCCTCAGACATGTTTTTAAACTTTTAGCACCTTGAATTCATTTTCACAAAGGGTTTTGCTGAGCAGCTACAGTCTGTGTGAGTGTGTGTGCAGGTTTAGCCCAGCACAGCTGCTCTTTGAAGCTCTGCTGCTAGGGCTCTTCTCAATTGCCGTCATTAAGACCAGTCTTGAGACAGTGAAGGAGACCTTGTTTCTGACCCTACCCTCTCATTAATGTGTGTGTGTGTGTGTGTGTGTGTGTGTGTGTGTGTGTGTGTGTGTGTGTGTGTGTGTGTGTGTGTGTGTGTGTGTGTGTGTGTGTGTGTGTGTGTGTGTGTGTGTGTGTGTGTGTGTGTGTGTGTGTGTGTGTGTGTGTGTGTGTGTGTGTGTGTGTATGTGTGCAGTTGGGTAGGATATTCTATTTAATAGTAGTAATGTGTGTGCGTGTGTGTGCGGTCAGTTGGGTAGTATTCGATTTAATAGTACCAGAACCTTCCAAAATATGCTGTTATGGAGCTGGTATTGGGATATGTATAAATTTATATATGTATATATGTAACAAAAACTAATGTAAACCAATAACGGAACCTGCAGAGGGTATCCAGTGATATTTATTCACCTAGTTGATCAATGTATTTTTCATTTGCATTTCCCTCAAAGCAAACCTTTTAAAATGCTAATAAATCAATATATATCAATTTTATTTTCATTTGCTTCATCCTTTAGGCTGTGTATACTACAGGGTTGAGATGCCCAGATTCATCATGTGAATTGATCATTATTTTAAATGCGATCACCTTATGTTGCAGCTCTGCAGCTTTTTTTTTTTTTAAGAATTTGCCAAATTGTTAACTGCTATAAGTAAAGGTACTCAGGTCCCATTTACATGTTTACTTTTAAAATGGATAAAATTTGCTACGGTTATGCCTTCCATCCACAATACCCCTGAGTTTTTAAGCCCTAAAATTAGAGAGATTTTGAAACTCTAAAGAGGCCTTTTTGGTTTTAAAAAGCTGCTGCTCTGGGTCAGTGTGGATTGGGAAAACGGAAACATCTAAAAACAGGGCGTGGCTGCAGACATTCGTCTTTCTGATTGGTGCTTTATGTCAATATTAAGTGCAATATTGTCTTCCATTCTTTTTTTAAGTTCAAACTTCGCAAGTTTGATATGGAAAACAAAATCCTGAGGACACGTCGGTTAAATCTTCAAAGGGTACAGTGTACTTTATAATGTCATTCACATCACACTGGCTGCCCTGTTTCACTTAACAATGAAATGAAAACATGATATAAGTAACTGCCTATTTTCATTTTGATATTAACAACTTAACAGACACCAAAAATGTTGAGGCATCATGTAGCTGCATATTCATATGACCCTCATCTTCACTGTATGCATATTTATAACAAAACGGAGCCTAACAAACCGCCTCTTTTCATTTTCATTGAAAAATTGTAAACATACCCTTTGTTTTGCTGAATTTTAATGAACAATACAGGCCATTATAAAAGTATAACCTACAATAAATTTATACAATATAGGAAATAAAGGCAAGCAATCAGTCAATATACAGAATCAGTGTACGTAGTTACATTAATATATTAACTTATCTTTGCGCTCAGCCAAACAGGTTACCTGAGAACAAGTAAAAGTTTCAAAAGATCAAAGAGTTGTTAGATAGAGACAAGATGAATCAAATATCATGTTTAAGAACAACTTAATGAGGTATAGCAGTAGATCCTTGATGAACTGTCTGACATGCGTTGCTATCATCTGGGGAGGTGTGCTCAAAGCACCCGCTGACTGCCTGGAGCTTAGACGTGTGCATATGACGACAGCTCATGCCAGAGTGTGTGTGTGTGTGTGTGTGTGTGGTCACGTGTTGTGCGTTTTCAGTGGTATAGTGTGGATGTGGATCATTTTCATTATAAAACACTGTTCTAAAACTAAAACGTATAAGTGTACACAGGGCCTCAAACTATCATAACGTGCAGAGTGTAAACAAAAACTGTTTGTACTATAAACCACTGTGTGTTTTAATTAAACCTATTTGCTTAAAATAATATGGTGAGGATATGAGCTAAAAACAATTGGAAGCAAATAATATTGGAGTACAAACAGTTGCTTCCACCCTTTTAGGATATTACTAGCCAATAATAATCATCCAGAATGGTTAAAAAATCATTCATTCCTATTGAATACATTTAAAAATATTATTCTATGTTAAGTCAAGTCACTTTTCTTTCAGATTGTGCAACATAGGCTCATTCTGAAAACGTAGCTCTTTAGTACGTTTCTAAAGATTGCTAATTATAAAGCCAGAAGTATGTATGGCTGTCTTTCATTTATAAAACGAAGGCTACGGGTGGTATGATGCTGTTCTTTTTCGCGCTTCCTATCTGAACGTTTCCTGCTGTTACCAGTTCATCCAGTTAGCTCACCATTTTACATCTGTGAACCTGAGATGTAGAGTTAAACCACGACTACGGCGATTGCTTTTTAAAATTGCTGGTTATTTATAGTGAAGTGGGTGGTTGGGTCAATCTGTGCTTTTTAAAATACTATTGGTTGGGTTTCAGTCAGTCAAACAGTCAGTCCAACAGCGGCCTCTGATGAATTTACGTGAAAACAGCTGCCGCAAATGGCATTCACAAGAGCAGTTTGAGATCTCAAGAAGCATATGCAGCGGCCTCTAGTGGATTCGGGAAAACAAAAACTGCAAAAAAAAGTAGCTCCTAGGACGTAATTGGCTCTCTCCAGAAATAAGTATAGTGGTACCTTTTCCTGAGCCTGGGTTGAGATTGTGTGAAATCATACATAGTTTATTATGCATACTGAGTCATGCGCTGCACTTTTGGGAGAGCATTCCCACATTCCCAAACCCCCAGTCTGTGAGTTACTGTTAATAACTCTGTATTATTAACTCTGCTGATATGTCTTTGTATCCCAGGAGAACTTGTGGCTGGACAGTGTATCTCTGCTCATCAAAGATTCATTTGAAGGAGAGATGCTGATGATTGACAACCTCTCTGGCTCCGTCTTCCATCATTACTCCTCTCCTCCTGTCTGCAAGGACTGCAGGACTCATCCGCAAGAGGTACAGCTTCTCATTGTTTGTCACAAATGCACTCAAGAGTATAGGCACTCTACTGTACGTTTACCTACCGACGTCCAAACACTTCAGAATTGAATAGAAAGTGGTTATTATATTGTTTTCTGAATGTGAATGTATAATGACAACCATGAACAGTTTGAATTTGACAGGCTATGAAGTCTCCTACTTCAGTAGTTGGAAAATATTGTTCAGGAAACTGACCCTGCATAGATTCCGAGCTTAGTTTTTAAGCACTCTAGGCTAGTAATTCATGCAAAGCTTTCCTAACTTTATTAGTTATTGTTTATTAATTAATATTCATGCATTCATTCATTGTCCTTCAGTTTAGTCACTTTATTCATCAGGGGTCCCCACAGCGGAATAAACCGCCAACTTATCCAGCACATGTTTTACGCAGCAGATGCCCTTCCAGCTCCAACCCAGTGCTGGGAAACATCCATACACACTCATTCACACACACACACACTATGGCCAATTTTGTTTATTTAATTTATTTATACCCCATGTCTTTGGACTGTGGGGGAAACTGTAACCTTCTTGCTTTGAGGCGACGCATTTTCAGAAATTGTACTGTGATAAAATGTAGTGCGTTTTCAAAAATTGTTTGCGTGGAGGGAAAATGCAGTTCGTTTTCGTAAATTGTTTGCGTTATGAGAAAATGCAGCACGTTTTTGTAAATCATTTACATTGTAAGAAAATGCAGTGCGTTTTCGTAAATTGTACAGTGAGAAAATGCATTGCCTTTTTGTAAATTGTCTGCATTGTGAGAAAACGCTGCACATTTTCGGAAATTGTTTGTGCTGTGAGAAAATGCAGTGCGTTTTCATAAATTGTTTGCGTTGTGAAAAAATTTAATGCTTTTTTGTAAATTGTTTGCGTTGTGAGAATGCAGTGCGTTTTCATAAATTGTTTGTGCTGTGAGAAAATGCAGTGCGTTTTCGGAAATTGTTTGTACTGTGAAAAAAATGCAGTGCGTTTTCGTAAAATGTTTGCGTTGTAAGAAAATGCAGCGCATTTGCTGTTTGCTGTCAAACGAATGAAGATCTATTCTTTGCTGCCGTTTTTGTAATTGTATGTCTTTTCTTTAATTGCAGCATGTAAAGCTCTCTCAGTCACTGTATAAAGAAGATTATTGCAAAAGAAAACTAGATACTATAAATGCAACAAGGTAACGTTTGTTAACATTAGCAAATATACTTACTAGATCAAATAATAGCATTTGCCTGTTCTACCTTTGCAGCTCCTGAAAACAACACAGACATACTCTTGGTACATCAACCACATCAAAGAGAAAATGGAGGATATATACTTGTTTTGTTATTGCTGTAACATCACATTGTGCCAGCATTTTCAGCCTGACACAAATTGTCTGTGAAATTAGTTTATAGTACTGCGGATAATCTCTTTCATATAGTAGCAACTGAAGCATCTCACACTCAACAGAAAAAGAAAAAAGAATGCTTCTCCACATGAGCTCTCCCAGTTGCTCACAGCTCTGCATTTTTAAAAGAGTGCTGGTGATTTCAGCTGTGTAAATGCCCTTTGGTGGACACATAAACTTACTGTACGCGAGCTCTCAGTTTGAAGCGTCTGCCACAGGAAATCAACCTGACGTGAATAATTAAGCAAGACATCTTCTCATAGGATAGAGACATGCCGCCTCATGAATAATTATAAGACACTGATGAGTCATTGATGTCACTGGTGAGTCAACTTCTGATGGTGCTGATACAATGACAAAGGAAGAAAAGAAAAGTAAAAAATACAATCAAAATTAGCTTAAGCTAACACTGTCTTTATGTGCAACATGCCTAGCTCTGCTAAAATCTCAGAAAATGTAGTTTAGTTTTTCATGGCCCTTTAGAGAAGTAGAATTAAAAAAGTTCAAATGTATGGACCCTTTTCACATTTCCAGGTTTCTCAGTAGTGGAAGTAGATTGGTAAACAGAGCGGAGTGAAAGGGAGAATACCACAAATAATTGTTTGCAATCCTATTTCCTGAAATAATATAAGAAAAATTCCACAATGGTGTTATCGAGAATGTCAGAGAAAACTAACAAAAAAATGTGTGACTGATAATAGTATACACTCATCGGCCACTTTATTAGGTACACCTTAATAGTACCCAGTTGGACTTCCTTTTGCCTTCAGAACTGCCTTGTTCCTTCGTGATACAGGTTCAACAAGGTGCTGGAAATATTCCTCAGATTTTGGTCCAAATTGACATAATAGCATCAGGCAGTTGCTGCAGATTTGCTGGCTGCACATCCATGATGGGAATCTCCTGTTCCACCACATCCCAAAGGTGCTCTATTGGATTGAGATCTGGTGACTATGGAGGCCATTTGAGTACAGTGAACTTGCTGTCACTTTCAAGAAGAACAAGAGCCTGTGTGAATTGTAGCCAGTTTCCTGTTCCTAGCTGACAGGAGTGACACCCAGTGTGGTCTTCTACTGTTGTAGCCCATCTACCTTAAGGTTGTGCGTTCAGAGATGCTCTTCTGCACACCTCGGTTGTAACAAGTGGTTTTTGAGTTATTGTTGCCTTTCTATCAGTTCGAACCAGTCTAGACTTTCTCTTCTGACCTCTGGCATCAACAAGGCATTTGCGCCCACAGAACTGCTACTAACTAGATATTTTCTCTTTTTCTGACCATTCTCTGTGAACCCTAGGGATGGTTGTGCATTAAAATGAGTGAGTGAGTGTATACCATTAATGGTAAATACATATTAAATAAGTACACATTTTTAAATAAAGTCTAAAAAACAAAGATTTAATATGCTGATGACTGTTAAACACGTGAAAAGGGTCCATTGAAAGAAAACAATTTAAACTACTTTCATCAGGTGTTCCGCAAGGCTCAGTTCCAAGACTGTTTTCTATTTAGGGCGTACTCACGCTATGTACAGTTGCCTTGAACCGGGCCAAAGCACGCTTTTCCCCCCTCCCGTCTCCCCCTACGGCGTGTACTCACATTACGTTCAAGGCTGGGCACGCTTACATCATCGATGATGCACTGTTAAGTAGAGAAGTGCTCTCGCTCAGCACAGTGGAGATTTCTTTAGTTATTTCGTTTTAGTTTTTTGGGATGCGGTGACACACAGTCAAATATTTCGCCGAACAGATCAGCCAATTTTGACGCTCATAAATCATGAAGTCCTCGTGCTGCAGGAATTAGGAGGTTTGCTGAAGGTGCAGCTGTGGTGCAGTAAGGGGTTTGTGTCTTTAATTATCTACGACAGTTTACGTTCATTGAACAGTACGAATGATTAATCAATCCATATCATACAGTCCCTTAAAAGTCAGGTTCGGGTTTATGCACGTTTTGCACTCACACTACAAGTGTTCCGCGCCAAACCCCAAGTGAACCGCACTCTGGCACACCATTCCAACCGGGCCATGGGCGACAAAGTGAACTGTGCTTGAGCCCGATTCAGAGCACTCACACTTCTCAAACGCTGTGGGAAACGGGCTTGAGGATGGTTTGGATAGCATAGTGTGAGTACGCCCTTATACGCTTCCACTAGGATCTATTTTTAATGTGTGTGGGGTCTCTTTTCATCTGTGTGCCGATGATATGCACATTTATATTCCCCCTAAAACCGACTTTTTCAATTTTGAATTTAGGTGTATGGTTTGACAGTAATCCTAAATTTGATGTACAGTCAAGTCCCTTTTTAATCATCTTCATCTATTGACGAAGGTGAAGCCAACTTTGCCTTGAAAGAAATTTGAAATGCTTATGCACACTTTTATAAATTCTCAATTGGATTATTGCAACTCATTCTTCATCGGTGCTTCTCAGTCATGTGTTTTTCATCTGCAGTTGCTGCAAAATGCTGCAGCTTAAGTTCTTTATAGAAAATAGACTGCCTAAATCCCTTCTCATTGACATTTAATAGTTTTTTGACTTGATTTTAGTGACTCTTCTTCATTTGCAGTGTGTAGAATTGTTCCTATTTCTAGTGTACTGCATACAAACTTGTTGACCTGTCTTTGCTTGTTATGCTCTTGTCATGCAGCACTTTGGTTGACAGTGCTTGTTTTAAATGTGCTATACAAAATTAAATTGTGTTGTACTTTTTGTCTTTAAAAAAAACAATTGACTACACCTTGTTTGAAACAAGGTTAAAAACTAAAGTTATTGCACTATAGCACATCATTTGATACACACACTCACACAGAATCTCCCAATGAATCTTGATGGGTGTCCTGTCACTGTGACCGACAGGACAGCTAGTAATTCAAGCGGTAATTCAAGCTGTAACCTCCACACCTGTCATTCCCGCCATTCTGCCAGCCTGCCAACAATGTCAGTCCATCAGTCTGTTTCCCCTCCCCTGTCTCTGCTCTCCATACATTTGCAAGCTCCACTCTCCCACTCACCCTGTTTGACTGTAAACGGCTTTCTTCTTGAATTACCCAGATTTCTTCTTTGGAAAGTCATCAACGCGTTGTCAGACATAAAACATGCTATCCATAACAATTGGAAGGTCTCTTTTGACAGATTCGCCACTCCATATTCACACTCTGCTAACTCCAAAAAGCCATTGGACAGTGTGCAGAAATTCAAAAAGATCTGATTTGAATGCTTGAAGCCACTCTCAGTTCTCATGGCTATAAATTGTGGCCCACAGCAGATCCACATGGCTGAACTGGAGCAGGCGTCTCTGAGGTCGGAGCAGCTCTCAGATAAGTCATCCTCGCCAGCGCTGCCCGATGACCTCAGCCTGGACGAGCAGAGCGTCTACCAGATGGCTGCCAAAGAGGGCAAGGTGAACTTTCTCACAGAAAGATGATCTTGTCTTCCCTCCCACAATTATCTTAGCATCCATCCATACTTTGACATGTTCAAATCTGTTTCAAATGGGGATGCCCTGATATTAAAAGCCTTGCTAATATCGGTGGCATCGCTTTATTTTGATTGGTCCACATTTGAAATTCTGTTGACTTCATGTAACTTTGCCACAGTGTGTTTATTAAGAGTTATTAAAATAGAAGTCCACTTACAGTTTAATATCTGCTTAAACAATACCTTTATGGTCCTTCTACAGATATTTAAGGGATTTTTGAAGTACATAAACTTATTCTGCAAACCCTAATCTGATTTCTAACCTAACAATTAGTTGTTGGAAAGTTGCTTAGTCAACAGAATGTCAAAAAGGACGATTAAAATAACCAATAATAGCTAATATTATATATATATATAAATAATGGCTTTTGCCTCAAAGTCCTAATTTGCTGTTAATTAATAGTTATAAAGGTAATAGTTAGTAAAAGTAAAGTAACAGGATTTCTTTCTTTCTTTCTTTTTTTCTTTCTTTCTTTATTTATTTATTAGTTTAGTGCTTCTTAACTATGCTTGATTGGTTGTTTAATTTTTGTATTGCTTTTTAGGGTGACAATTTTAACATCTGTCCAGAGACACTGCATGAAAAATAACTTTATGGCTAATTCTGGTGCATTTGCAGCAATGCAAATTAATGTACACTGTCCCTGCCAAATAAACAAAAAAATGAATAAAATAAAGTTAGATCTAAGTAATAGGTATGATTAGGGATGTAGAATAAGATCAAGCAGAAAATGTACTTTATAGGTACTAAGAAACAACCAATATCTGAATAATAGGCTGGTAATAAGCCATCAATAGACAATAGTGAGAATTTTTACTTAAAATTTTATCAAAAATTCTTGCTGCTATAATTTAGTTGGACCAAACTAACTTTTCTAGTCAACATAAGTTGCATTAGTTGGACTAAAATGACTAGTTTAAACCTGATTAACTTGTTAAAATAACTTTCTTTCATTTGTAACAGTAATTTACAGTGTGTGTGTACAGTGCTCAGCATATATAAATACACCCCTCACAAATCTATCTTTTGAATTCATATTTTTAATAGGAAGCTGTACAATATTATATTTGTGCATATACTGTACATTAGATCAGTCAGTACTGAAGCCAAATCTGGAGCTTATCTAACTTACGATAATGGTCGATAAAATATTAAATTCAAAATTTAAAAAGAGGAAAAATCAAGAGAAGCAAAAAAATAAATAAAAAAAAGTTTAATTTAGTTGAAATTTTGTAGGTTGTAATCTATTTTTGCCATATTTTGCTTAAATTTATAATTATTATTATTATTATTATATTTCAATTTTAAAAGATGTTTGGTGACTAAAATATGATTTTAATAAATATATCTGCTAAATAAATCTGTTTTGTTTAAATGCACCAAAATACACTGCCTATATTCACTGAGTAATGGATAAAAATATAAATGTTCAAAATGAGGTGTACTCAATTATGCTGAGCACTGTACATACCTTAGAAAGTACTGGTTATTTAAGGTAATAAACTAAGCTGCTTGTCACACAAAGCAGGACTATAATTTTTAGAACTACACCCAGTACCAGATGAAAGATCTTCCTGTGAAAATGATCTACCTTTATCAGATATCATCTGCTGTAATCCCCTACATCCCAAACTATGATCCTTTAATTAAATATAATCAGTGATAATGACCGCAGCCTCGCACTAATTAGTTTGAAGCAATCAAATAGACTGTTAGTCTAGATCCTGCATTCTCATGGGGCATGTAACGCTAAAGCTCTCTCAGACTAATTCTTCAGCAAACTCCAAACAATCTCAAGCTATTTGCTAGAGAAGCACCATAAAGGACAATATGTGGGGCAGATGGCTCAGAAGATCCAGCAGAGCGTAATTGTTACTTAATCTCTTTTAATGCTGTAGAGAGAAGCCCTGGATGCAGGAAGCCTAAAAAGGGTGTAGTTTACTATGATAGCAAGATGTTAGCATTTAAGAGACCTGCATATCTTTCCAGGATAACCCATATTAATGTTTCTTTTTTTTTTTTTTGCTCAGGAGAGAGTCTGTGATGAGTGCCATCATTCAGAAGAGCCAGGAGGGAGAGGAAACAGCAGGTTACGACGATCCTCTCGCGTCCACAGCTCTGGGACAGAAGATGGAGGAACTTGTCAAAGTCCACATCACAACACACCTGCTCGACACAGCATAGGTAATTCTGGCATGTTCACAGTAGCAAAATTTATTAGCAAAATGCTTTTTATTTTGTACATATAAAAAATAAAATAAAAAAGAGGAAAACAGCAGAGATTTTATTACATCACTGTCGATCGCTTCCAGTTCTTCCTGTCATAATAACTTTAGGGAAAAAGCAATGCTGTTTTATCATATTACTTACATTTTATAGGGGCATTCCAGAGTGTATTTTATGGCTTGGGTGTGCTCATACTTTACTTGTAGAAAATCATGTTATTTTTTCATATATAGTTGAAGTCAGAATTATTAGCCCCCCTGTTTATTTTTTTTCCCCAATTTCTGTTTAAAGGAAAAATATTTTTTTCAACACATGTCTAAACATAATAGTTTTAATAGCTCATCTCTATAACTGATTTATTTTATCTTTGCCACGATGACAGTACATTATACTAGATATTTTCAACACACTTCTATACAGCTTAAAGTGACATTTAAAAACTTAAGGTTAACTGGGCAGGTTAGGGTAAAAATGTAAGTTATTGTCTAATGATGGTTTGTTCTGTAGATTTCTGATTTCTGTAATCGAAATTAACTTAAAGACACTAATAAGTTTAACCTTAAAATGTTTTTTAAAAAAATGAAAAAACTGCCTTTATTCTAGCCGAAATAAAACAAATAAGCCTTTTTTTTCAGAAGAAAGAATATTATCAGACATACTGTGAAAATTTCCTTGCTCTGTTAAACATCATTTGGGAAATATAAAAAATAATAATAATTCAAAGGGGGCTAAAAATTCTGACTTCAACTGTATCTCACTTTGATAATACACAGCTACTCAGCTAACATGAAAACGACTGTCAGATTTCCTAGTTCCTCCGAAAGACTCACCCTCAAGTGGGTCTGATTGGTCAGCTAACATAATGTCTGTCGGATCGGCTCCACATCACCAGGAAAAATGCCACGCCTCTAATAGCACATGCTACAGTATGCCTCTGCTGTATAAATACTGTCAGTCAGAGGAGCGGTTAGTCATATCAGGTTGAGCCTGAATTAGTCAGAAATTGAAGAGGACACAGATGAACCTCATGCCTGCTCTCTATATATTTGGAATAAGCATGTCTAAGTAATATAAAGCGTTGACACAATCTTTTGCGATTTGAGATGTAGAACGCAGGGAAAGCGGCTGCATAGAGAGACACTGCAGTGCTGGTCAAGATTGTGGATGTTTACAGCAGTTTGACAGATATATATGAATTTGAAGCTAAATTGTTAGCGGTGACAAACATCATTTCCCATCGTTTACATCATTGTTTATGTCCTTGCTACAAAATGCTGTTAATGCTAGACACTATGCATGTAATAGATCGATTTAAAAAAATAAAAGTACTTACAGGTTGTGGCTCACTATCCACAGCTTCTTCTATTAGGGTTGGAGCTGCTCCTTGGTTGAGGAGTTTTTAGCCAAATCCAGCACTGAACTGTGAAAGATTCTGGAAGCTGTCCTTTGTCAAATGCTAGCTAAATATTTTTAATAATTCTTTGGAACAAATTTTAAATTGTCTTGTCCTTTAAAAACCCAAAAGCAGAAACAAAATGAGCTCTGTGAAAAGGCAGCGTTTGGATGGCATTTTAGCTTTCGCTGCTTTAAGCTTACAGCACCTCTGGCCATGCTCCTTCACTGCGCGGGGTGTATGCACGTGGTGAGCGCGCGTAACCTGAATCGTTTGTGATCATGGCATTTTTTTGTAGTCCCCAAACTTTGTTCGCTGTAGGTTTTGCTAAGCTAACTCTGTAAAAGCCAATAGCCCCTTTCACACATACAGACCTTTCCGGAAAATTGCCGGCAATTTTCCGGAAAGGTTGTATGTGTGAACAGGTCCTTTTTGAAAATACCGGTAAATTCGTTCTGGCTATTTTCCGGAAAGAGAAGTTGTAACATTACCGGCAATTTGCCGGAATGCTGCGCTGTGTGAATGCAGAAGGAAGATTCCCGTAATAAGCGCGTGCACGTCTAGAACGTGCTGACGTGAGACGTCTGCTTTAGCCAATCACAACAGTCAGACGTATTTACGTCCGCGCGGTTTGTGAGGATAAAAGCCTTTGAATATTTTTCCAGACAAATTTAGCTGCTAGAAGTTAGTCAGATCACGTTTATATGTTCTTCTTAATGCCACCTGTGTAAATAATCATCGATGAGATGCTTATGATAAGCCGTTGTTTGTTTACCTTCAAGCTTTGCGTGTGCCTGTGATACAGCCTATGAGCGCCTGCACACGCACATTATGAACATCTCGACAATTTAGTCAAATGTTTACAAATACAAGCGCAGCCGTTTAAAGCTCATTTGTGATGAATGATGTCAGAATTTACCGTTATTTTGGAATGGATGTGTGAATGCTCTTTTCCGGAAAATTTCCGTAATGTCCTCGCCTGTGTGAACAACGCTTTTTTCAATATACCGGTAAAGTCGTTCCGTAAATTTTCCAGATATTTACCGGTATCACTGTGTGAAAGGGGCTGATGTCACCCTTTGCATTGAACTTGGAGCGCATACATTCAGAGATGTTGTTTACATTCACACAGCTACATTACACATCGACTACAGTTTAAAATATGATATTATAGTGGACCACTCCTTTAAGGCTCTGTTATAATGCATCTCTGTGTAGTCTAATAAAACACACTACCTAATAAAGTGTTTCTTTGTCTTCTTTAAAACTATGGCACATTTTAACACTAGTTAAAATAGCTTATTTCTCTGGATTTGAGCATTCTTTGAAAAATTTGGGTCAGTATAATGTGATAATGATACATGAGTAATAACTATATAACTTTAACTATATAACACTTTTCATCATTTTAATGACAAAATCTATACATATTGTGCCTTTAAAAGAAATTTACATCATCATTATCATCAAAAAAATAAAATGAGTTGAATGAAAATTAAATTCAAATGACAGAAATAGGTTTTAATTTTTAGTGGAGTTCAATGAAAATCTGTAGTGATAGTGCCTTCTGGGAATTTAAGTTTGTTTTCGTCCTAGTACTACTCAAAAAATATGTTTTTTCTATATTTATTTTCTGTGTAAAAAATATTTCTACTGAAAAAAAAAAAACTTTTCAATATTTCATTTCTGAAAATTAATTCTGTATTATTTATACATTTTATTTTGCGTTTATAAATAAGTCTACTTTCCTACTTCCCCAAAGTCAGACTACAGTTCTGTATTCTGCACTCTACCTCTGCTAATATTGAGTAACTGAATCTGTGTGCAGGTGGCGTTCCCTGTAGCAGCAGTAGTCAAGAGCACCCAGGGGTTTCTGGAGGTTCGAGCCGCTCTAACACCCCCGTTTGTCTCCCTGCTGAATTCTTCCACCCAGCTGCTGCGGCTCTGCCTGCACCTCCGAGAGGCCGAACAGGACACAAACCAAGAGGCCTTCGGCTAACTTCACCAGCCTCTTGGGCTTCTCTGCGCTCTCCTGGAGCAAACACCAGGCTGCTCACCACACAGGTATGGACAGTATGGATGGTCTTTGAATTTGAGGGGAGGATTAGAGGTGTACTATTTCATTGTAACTAGAATACTAGTTACTCACTGCAGTACTACACTACCTGACAAAATTCATGTAGTCTATCCAAGTTTTAGGAATAACAGATAATAATGTGGCTTCTAGTTGATCATTTGGTATCAGAAGTGGCTAATATTCAAGGCAAAGCCCTCTAGATTATGCTATTTTACCAAAATAAAACATGATCATGCCTTGATTTTTAATTATTTAATTAGGACAGTAAGGTCTAACTTTGCTTTGACAAAAGTCTTGTCACTTAACAGAAATAATGTACAGTATAGAAGATAAAGAATAGTACAGTATAGACGATATCATGTTGCAGTGGAAAAATAATTAATATTGTGTGTGACTCCCATGAGCCTGGAAGGAATATAACTTATCAACTTCAAATAACTTATTAATAAAGTCATCTGAAAAGGCAAAGAAAGAGTTCTTGCAGGACTCCCTGAGTTCTTCAAGATTCTTTGGATGCATGTTCAAAGCCTCCTCCTTTATCTTAACCCAGACATGCTTAATAATGTTCATTATGGGGACTGGACTGCCCAATCCTGGAGCACCTTGACCTTCTTTGCTTTAGGAATCTTTGATGTGGAGGCTGAAGTATGAGAAGGAGAACTATCCTGCTGAAGACTCTGCCCTCTCTGTAGTTTACAATGTAATGGGCAGCACAAATGTCTTGATACCTAAGGTGGCCATTCTGATCTTGATGTTGCCATCAACTCTGCAGATCTCTCACATGCCCCCATACTGAATGCAACCCCAAACCATGATTTTTCCTTCACCAAACTTGACTGATTTTTGTGAGAATCTTAGGTCAGTGCAGGTTCCATTAGGTCTTCTGCAGTATTTGTGATTATTAGGATGCAGTTTAACAGATGATTCGTCAGAAAAGCCACTTTTCAAATGATCAACTAGAAGTCAAGTTATTATTTGTTAAATCAAGCACACCAGTAAATCTGATTGGTTTCTTTATAATGCAGTAAACAAAAACTTAATTTTAAGTGACATTTTAGACTAAATATTGCCTGTTTGTGTACTATTACTACAACAAAAGTAGTTTGGGACCTCCTTTGAAACAAATCTTATAATTCTAATTTAATCAATAGATTGCATTTAAGAAATGGCTATGCTTAATAATGTTACCACAGTTGAGCAAAATGTATGGAAACATACATTTCTGTTAAAAAAAAAGGACAAGAAGATGATTGACAAAACAGATTGGGCAAAGTAGTCACATTTAACAATAGTAGCCAATAGTCAGGGCTGGCCCTGAACATTCGGGGACCCTAAGCAGAGTAATTTCGGGGCCCTAACTTGCTCTAAATAGTGGAGTACTGCCATTGCACACCAGCTCACAATGATTTTATTGCTTTTCAAATACAATCAACGAAACAGCTTAAAGATTTGCCACATTTCTTCTACTTAATAACAGTCTGACTGATTTGGACTTTTTAATACAGCACTGTTTTTGTCAAATACCAGCTTTAAAAGTGAAGAATTAAACAATCTTTAATAAAGGGAGCTGTGAATACCTATTTTGCATTCTTTGCGAGTGTTTAAAACATATTTTTATTAATTTAGCAAACAGATAAAATAATATTATAAAATATATTACACACACTCATTAAAAAAAGCAAAAAACAACAAAACAATTAACATTATGCAGTACAATACAAATACTGACTTAATGTTATTACCCAAACACAAACTTTTTGATTCCCTTCGGTCTCCTTTTCTGGTCCTTCCTTTGACTTATTTTCTATCGGTGTCTTGATTTTTAAGATGCAAGGCCCAGAGCTTATATTAAACTAGGATTAATTCAATTAGGACATAACTCTTATAAACATCTTTCTGGAAAAATATTAACAGTGTGCAAAATATGTCAGTAAAACACACTTGCCTATTTTCAATAAATGTGCTACAAGATTATGTCTTTAACATCATGTTTACCACTTAAGGTGATGCTAAAAATGATCTTGTGCTTGTTTCTTCTCATCGTCAGTTTCCCCCCCTCTTTTTCTGCACCTGAAGAATAGATTAGTTTCATTTTCGTGGTCCAATTTTTAAAACAAAAGCTGCTTCACTTGCTTATAGGAAGCGCCGGCTCTGCCAATAGTGGCAGTAAATTATAAAATGTATATTTATGTTTTGTTTTATTTTATTTTTTTGCTTTGAAACATTAAACCTTTTTTAAAGCTTTTATTTTGGCAGAGAAAACAAAACACAAGGAACTGCTTTTGAATTTGTGTATATCATTTTGCTGTGAACCAATCTGAAAACACTGTTTGTAGAAGATGCTCATGCCAAATGATCACAGTAATGCACTTCACATTGCAATTTGATAATGAACACAAACACACACACACACACACACACACACACACACACACACACACACACACATATATATATATATATATATATATATATATATATATATATATATATATATATATATATATATTAATTACACATCACTATCAGTTACCTGTCAAAAACTCCACCTCTCTGCCCGCAGTACCCATCTCACAGTGACTCCTCTCTGGCTACGGGCAGCTCAGAGGGCAGCCTACCGACCACCATGGAAGAAGGGCTCAGTTTCATCGTATCAACGCCCCAGCCCCTTCTGGACACACTCCTCGACGAGCGTACTAGCCTCTCCACAGAGACCCTGAGACCCAGTCCTCCAGCCACACACATCCTCCAAACCACTAGGGGGCACCAGCGCAGCAGGAGCAGCTGTGAAACGGACATCAATACGGGCAGCATTCGACAAGGTTCCGAGGCGGATGTAGGATTGGTATGGTGCAGCTCCGAGCAGACATGCGACAGCCAGCAGCTCTCAGAGACGCAGAGCAGCCTGTCGCTCACTTCGCTACTTCTACCAAGCTCTCTAGTGCCCCTGTCTGTGAAAAAGTGCAACAGCACGGGCAGCTTAGACCAGGGGACTCTCACAGCCCAAGAAAAAGTGTTCACGAAAGAGCCACAGGGTAATATCACCAGCCCCTGGAAAGAGAGGAAGGAGAGGCAGTCGGAGGCAGCACAAGGAACAGATGGGGAAAGTACAAGCCAAATAACAATTGCGGGCTCTAGGAAAAATAGATGAAACTCTACCTAGTGTTAGTTCTTTCTAATGCCCACTACTCAAATCTGTTTTTAATTTTTCAGGGAGCAGTTTGACATGTGGTATTCCATCTCAAAGTCTGTTTCTCTCTATCTCCGTTTTCATTTGTGACCCGTTAGCATTTTGTATTTGCTGGTGGAAAACGTCCAACAGGACTGTAGAGAAACTGGATGGCGAGGCTTGACGGAAGCTGTTTGGCCCATCAGTGCATGACTAGACAGGACGGGACTGATCAAACAGCTGCCTGGAGGATCAGGTCAGGAGAACACGTAAAGTAAAGGGAAAGCTTTCCTGACAGTTATTTTGGAGGGAATATACATACAAAAGTATATCTAGATGGATTGAAGGCATAAGGTAACATCGATTTCTACTTTAATAGAGAGGGCATGCTGTGTTTCATGATTTAATAATTTACATCGCAAAAAGGATTTGGGATTGGTAACTCTTTGTGCATACACACTATTTGTATAGGTTATGTTTATTTCTTACTTAGTTTGTGTCTGTGTGTTTCTAGGTAGTTGAGGAGAGAATTTTTTTTTTTCAATCTTCAGCCTGAAACAAAGCTTTCGTTTTAGAGAGGGACCAAAATGAATAAAAGCAAGTCTGTCTGTCCATCTATCCTTTGGATTATCTACAGATAATTCATTTGTTTTCCTGTCTGTGTGTCTGTAAATGTATTTATTTATTGATATATTTAGGTTTTTATTTATTTATTTATTTGTTTGTTTATTTATTTATTTATTTTATTGATTTGCTCTAGTTTCTTGGAATTATTGTTTATATATTTCATAAAAAGGGCAAACGTTAGAAACATGTAATCTCCTACCTTTTGCATTAGGAGATGAAGAAAATATGGACACAAGGACAGTCCTCTGCATGACGGAGTCTCTTTACAAAAACGTTTAATCTAACAATTGCTGAAGATGTCAATGCTGGACGAAAGGGGTTTTTACTGAGATATTTTTTTATCGATATGCTCTGGATCAAAGGAATGGGTGGCACGCGTTGGTGTGCTCACTTTTGTCCTCCCCACAACCCAAAAACATTTCTCTACGTGATGACTTTATTCCCTGCAAGTGGCTTCCATTTTTCTAATTTTGGTTAGGTGGAGGGGATTCTTTTTGTATGCTCGGATGAAAAAAAAAAAAAAAAAAAAAAGATCGTGGATTACATGAACTAACGGATGTATACAGCCGGACATAAAGGATGATGAACAGGCCATGGGATTTAAACGCTTCTTCAAGAACCCAGGAGCTTTTATTTCGGTCCTTGAATGGCATGTCAGATGAGGACAACACAAGACGGTGACATTTAGCTTTCATTTTGACAAGGGTTGATTGGATTTGGAGTCGATGATTTCTACATGGATTTTCTTTAGCATGTTTACCGGATTGCAGTAGGACACCTCTTATTTATTATTCCTCCTCTGAGAAAACAAAACAAAAAAAAAGAAATTGCACTCTTGAGTTCATCTAGCGTAGACTTGGTCACTGTATTCATGTGCAAATGGAGCAACTGTAGGTATGACACTCCGAATATCTCCTTAGTTTAGTCTGCTGTAGTGTTTAGCACCCCTGGTGTGTTTTCTTTGATAATATTCAGGTGAAAATCTCAACTAGACTTGACCTGTTGATGAACTTCGTTGTCACTTTGTTGGTAGTCCATCCACGACGTCGGGGTCTCTTTTCGTTACATCGGTTGTGTTGTGGTTTAGTCGGGACCCAAGTTGCGGGATTGTCATTTTGATCTTGCCTGTTTCAGTCATGGAGTTTTAAACGAGGAACTGAAGTATTAAAGTTTAATCAGCAAAACACAATAACAAAGGGCTTACTTGGTTTCCAAGGTGTTCTTGGATCTCACAAGACGCATTTTATTTATTTATTTGCTAATAGTGCGCAAGACTTTAAAGGTTAGTCTGACACTACAGCAATAAACAGTAGCTTTGTGTGCCCCAAATACACTTAATGATGTCAACGTCTTTCTTTTCTTCTTTTTTTTTAAAGAAGAGTATGTACCCTTGTTTACTAGCCTAAATAACAATATCTGCACGATGTGAGGGCTTATCACATTACATAACCGGCGATTAGATGGGCTGCCAAAGGTTCAGATGAACAAATGAAGTCATTTCGAACTCAGGGCCTTGGAAAATACCACTACTGAGCGCTCTGTTTCCTCAGGGAGACAGATGGCTGGAAAAAAGAGGAGGACTGTATGTTAAATGTTAATGTTCATTTGATTTGACTTTGCATTTAATGCTCTAATAAGCCTGCGTCAGTGCATTACCGTTATAGCAGAATGAGCGATGGCCAGTTTTATTAGAGTAACAGGTAAACCGAAAGCTAATTCATAGCCATCGCTGTATAGCTTGAAAGTTTATGTAGCTTAAAGAAAAAAAGAAACACAAACCTGACAATGCATTTAAGGACGTATGCATATATTAAGTTGATGAAATGTGTACTGTACGTACGTGCGTGTGATGTTAAATGGCTTAGAGTGATGGGTGAGATTTTATACTCGATGTGTCTTGTCACTGGGTTGAACATATGTACATATACTTTTATATATCCAATTGCATGTGTGCTATGACCAATGACAATGATACATGCATTTTAGAGTGGTTGAGGTTTAGGTTTTGTTTCCCCCTGCCCACCCTGATGTCTTCCTGAATCTATATTCTAGTTTTATTGATGACACTAGATGATGTTTGGGATCAAACTGTGCTTTTTGCTGGCTTGGATCTCTTATCGGTTTGTTCACTCTGGTCCACAAATCTGATTGGCTTTGTTGAATTCTAATAGTCCTGCTGGACTTTTCACTTTGTGTGATTGTGATGTGGTAGATGGATTTTCTTTTTAAATCATGAGGATAGAAGCTGAGTTTCTCCCACTGGTTGAGCAGAAAATGCTGAAAAAAGTTCAATTATGGAAAGCTTTTAGCAGGGAGGCAAAATTGCAGTCGCTCTGTTTCACTCATATTCCCCCATTCTGGTGTGTATAGTATGTTGAATGACAGTCAGAATTAATGATTGAGATTTCTGCAAGTATTTTATGGAAAATTTTTAAACCTTTTTTGAATTGTTGCTTGATTTTTTTAAAGAGATAGTCCTTCCAAAACACCTTTATTATTTTCTTTCTTCTAGGAAACCATTTTATTATTATTGGACAGTGCAGCAGTTACATTCCAATAGTAATCACATTCATTTTATCTATATGGGAAATTTATTTTAATTAAGGATGTTCAAAGTTTACACCCTGCCCCAATACAACACAAATTATTCAATACGAATCAAGGACCATTTGTTCAAATTTGCATGCAAACAGATCTCATGGTTTCTTGTGCATCAATCACATTTGAGCTGCTTGTTTTTTCTTTTATTACTAGTTGCTTATAAACTTTATTTTGGCCTTAAAGTTGACAATCAGATTTTGTAAAGCCCAACCAATCATATTGGTTGACCTCCTTGATCCCTAACATTCACAATATAATAAATCTTTGACATATTGTGTGCTATAGAGTTGTTAACAGGAGAGCGTTTTATTGAAACCATCATGCAGCATTGCTAAAATAATGGGTGAGCTCTGTTGTACTCCAATGACTTTCCAGATGTTTAGTTTTCTGAATGATGACAGAATTATACACATTTAAAGGGTATAGTTCACTGTTACAACCTCAGGGCAGTCTACTGGAGTGAGATTGCACACTTGGATTAAGGACTTGGTTAAAACAGACACTCAAAATAAAATTGTACTTCAAAGTAAGGACAGACAACAATAACTAGGGTACAAGCAATAGTCATTTGTTTACAAGTAGTGATGGTAAATCAATGAGTGTTTCTTTTACAATTTTAGAAACAATAAACATTGTAATTTAAAAAGACTGGCTACGTAGCCTTACTAATATTCAAAAATCCCCTCTAGTTTAATCTTGCAAACAAAAGATATGAAAAAGAAATCTTTAACTTTAATTATGTCCTACTTAATCTACACTATAGCTTAACCAAAAATGCTAGGGTTGGCACACATCTTCTCGCCTAGTGATCTCTAGATAGTTGTAAATCTATGTGTTGAGATGTATGTCACAGGACTTCCCTACCAATCTTTATAACCTCAATGACAAACACGAGGGTAGGTAACACAAGGGTAGGAAAAAAAAAAAAGTGAAACAACAACACGGTGGAAATTAAATAAGGACAAACAATATCAACAAACTAACCAAACAGTAATATCAAAACGCCAAGCAAAATCACCAACACAAATGCTGGAAGAATGAAGAGTTTTTAAAGGAGAGCTGGTATGAGGGGATTGGTTGAAATTGGTACTGAGTTGTAAAGCAGGAACCAAGCAGGATGAAGCAGAGGCAGGATTGGCTTAAGCAGTGAAAATTGACAGGGGCAGCAGTAGGTGGGATAAAAATGTAGTGAACTGTACTCACTATTGTTGAGATTTTTTGGAAGAAAGCTAAAAACCTGTAACTATTAACTTCCATAGAAGGAAAAACAAACACTATTGGAAGTTAATGCTTACCTGATTACAACTTTCTTAAAAAATCCCCTTTTTTTTCATTAAGGTTTTGAAAAAGGGAATGAAGCAAACTTTTAATTTTTGAGTGAACCATCCTCTTGACTTTGCGTGTTGATAATCAGCGCAGAACTCTTTATTGATTTGCCCCTGTTAAAGAAGCTATAAACTCCATGTAGCATGACTCTTGAGAGACTAAAGATGGGTGGCAAGAGACAGAAGAGCTTCTGACAGGGCTTCGGCATGCTTGCATGGTCAATCTGAAGGCTCTGAAGCAGAAACGCAAGTGAAAAGTGTTGTTTCTCCACACCTAAACCATCTCTCCCCTCAAGCTATCTGTCCTTTAAATGTCAGCTGTTCTGTTGCTCCATGTCCTGACCGCACGCTTACAGGGCTGTAGTGTCGCCAGCCTCGGGAGTCTCGGGATGTGAGCTGTCACGCCACTGTACAAATTCATCATGTGAAATGATGGCTGATTGCTAAATTGTCCTCTGAAGGTGGTAGCGTTTTGTCCGACTGCAGTTTTTGTCTTTAATGTTGACGTCTTGGAAGTTGTGGAGGTCACATTCTTTGTATCCGCCTCATATTCGCTCTTATCTAATCATTACAGCTTCGGAGAACGTCGGCTAGATGTATGGAAAACCTCTGACACCGCGACTGCGTCAGTGTTTTATCTTGCGCTTGAGTAATTACTCTGCCCGTCTGAATGGAAAAAAGCAAAGCGCTAATCGCTTCAGAAGTCATGCGGGTAAAATAAAGGTGATCCTCCCACTTAATGACAAAAAATGATCCTCGGTAATGACCAGGGCACCTCTGAGAGGACGATGAGATGGATATCCTTGCCATTTACTGTATGGCCTTGAATGCGTCATTATCTGATTTGAAATTAAAGCAAGGGCTGAAATGGTTAAGTGACTTCTAGGTGCTGTATTTTGGGACTTGATTGGTGTGAAATCTCAAGTGTAGCTCAGAATAGCTGCAGTTGAGTCTCTCTCTCTCTCTTTTCTCAGCGCGCCCCTCTCGTTTAGTTTGTTTGGAAATCACTAAATCAAGGCACTAGCTCTCCATCATAACAGAGCACAGCACTTCATGCACCTGA